AAGTCCATATTTTTGCCCAAATTGCAGAAAACCTGTCCTATACAGAGGATTCCATCATCAAACCTGAGGGCGACACAGCTGGAGAAAACTGACATCTTCTAGCCAGTGCATATAAGGTGACCCCTTTTTCAAACTCCTCTAATTAATTTCTGGGTAAAAACAACCTTGCCTTATTCATGGCTATATACATGATATAAGGTACTCTCAATTTACCAAGTTAGGGCTTGTATGTAGGACACAATGGCCCTTATTGTCCATTCTGTAGCTGACCAAATTGCTGCCACTGAGTTCTCAGCGAGAAACTCGCAGTTCTCCCTTCAACATCAACACAGACATGATCAGTTTGTGTAGCAACTTCCATGTTGGACGTATACCTCAGTGCACCATCCCGACTACCCTGGGTATTATATCTCCATTCTGTTACGATAAATACTGCATACCCATTGCCACTGTAACTTGGTGATATTCTTCTGTTTGCTAACACCACACTCAGCAATATTCCAGCAATATGGTGGTAATCTGTAAATAATGGAGTCTGGACCAGACAATCAGGCAAAGAACAGAATGAGCATTGAGCTACGCAACTGGGATACGATGACATGTGTCAACCAAATCAGCAAGCCTGACCACCCGATCCTGTCAGTCGCCTCTTAGGACAAGCATGGGTTGCTGAAGACCAATTCTAACCCGGATTGTTGTTATGTCATCTGCATTATCTCCCATAGTACTTCCCTCCATCGTGACAGTAATTTCACTAGACAGCTGTATTTAGCATTATGTCATTTGGATTGATTGTCACTGAAGCCATGGTGGCTAATGAGGTCTTTTCAAAATAGAATGGAAGACATAAATACCGGACTAATCAAGGAGATACTCCTAAAGGAATGTCTTTTATATGACTATTGGTCTGGGAGGTTACGAATCATTCCCTCTCCCAGCTTAACGAACTGTGTGTACTGTGTTGAAAGTGAAGGGAGTTTCTCCTGAGAACTGGTTGTCATTGACAGCGTGGCAAAGTCATACTGGGTCACCACCAGTGAGAGGTGCTGCTATAGGCAGAGGGGTAGGGAAGAAAGACTAGGGTTAACTGAGACCATATAATCTTACTACATTGTCTATGGAAGACGCTTTCACTGGAGTGCTGATTAAATATTTTAGTTTGGACTTGTATACTTCTCAGTAACTTCACTTGATGAAAAAGTTGCAGGAAACCATTTCATGATTTTCTGTCTCATTTACCTGTCTGTTTTTCAGCAGACCAAAAATGTCATTAAAAAATATCCATATATTTACAGTTAGTATGAAACTTGTGACCACAATGCAAAAACATGTATTAACAAAAGTTTGAACAACTGTCAGTTATTGTTTGTGCAAAAAGGACAAGAGTAGATTCATCCTTAATCAAAAGTCACAAAGGAAAAGGTGTGGAATCTACATTCCAGGTGAAAGAGTCTTTATGGGAGTTGTTGGAACAAGGGTACCGTACAACTGTCTGTGTACTTCTCTATAAGAAGTCCATCAAGCACTATCTAACATGTCAACATGCTTCAAACTTCAGTCCCTTGACGTCTGTAAAGTTTGATATGTTTGACACTCTAATGCTAACAATACCTAACAGTTACATGTTTTCAAATATGTCAGAATATTACAGGTGAGCTGTAAGCAGATCTTACATGTTAGCAGCAGGTTATGGCTCTCAGTAACTGAGACTCTGGTTGTAAATTAGACATCTAGACTGTTAGTTGTTGTCTAGGATTGTGTACAAAGGTATCTAATGTTGGCCAATAAAAATAATCATTTCAACTGGATAATGAAATACAAAGAAAATACTTTACCATGATTGTCTTAGAGGGCTTAACAACGAGAGAGTGAGTTTGGTTTAATGCCATTTTGAACAATATTCCAGTTACATCACGACATGTCTGCTTAATGTGGGAGAAAAGACTGAAGTGATGCAGGTCTCAAAATGTTTACCACCTTGGTGAAGCCACAAGCACTCGTATGCGAGAAACTTTAAAAGACTGGATCAGAATTTGAATCCCCAATCTTAGACGCCTTTCTTGTTCAAGGGACACAACTCTACATGACAGTAGTGTGCCTCAGACAACTGTGCTGCCTATGCTTCCAACTGGTTAAACAATGGTACAGGAGATGGCATACAGACTTGAACTACATGTGTATGTCATACTGACTATACGATAATTTCAGGCTATAGTAAAACTATATGCTTATAACAGTTTGACGGTTACATCATGTACATGCTATCTGGTGTGATTTGTTTACGCCACAGTCAGCAATATTACAGCCATATGAAGTTGCGTTGTATACCATCGAATTCTGGCCACACAATCAGTAGATTGGATCTCGTACAACAATCAATGCCATTGTGGTATGTTATCAAATTACAATCATTCCGGTGAAACACGTGGGTGAAACCTATTCTCAGCTTCTCCGATCTCGTTACTGTATACATCTCTAGCTCTAATCATAAACGACCATAAGTTGATAAATATAATATATAACTATGAATATATAACTAGATGCTGAATTAATCTAAATTAATCTAAATAAATCTTTGGTAATCATGGTAATTCTAACAATACCCAATCTTGTATGGACTGCAAAATATTTGCATAAATATTCTGTGTATACTTAATACTGTAAGATCATGCTGAAAACACATACCGGTAATAGAATGCCTGATGTAAAAATTTACCCTTTCAAATCCCCACAGTACTTGTCAGGATGTACACAATAGTGCAAGTTATACAGTGTGTGACTTGTGACTGTGAGAAGGACTTACTAAGCTCTCCCAACTCACAAACTATGATGCTTATTTGTGTGTGGGTGAGTGAGAAGGGCTTTAAGCCACTTCTACCAATATTCCAGCCATATCAGGTCGGAGGGACACGAGATGTTGGCTCAAAACATAGTACCTATGTGTGTTATCGTGATGCTTTACCCATCAGGTACCTGTCCCATGCCATGTTCATTTTGAACTAAATTAACTCTTTTCACATATTGTAGGTTAGGCAGTTTATTCTAAAGAGGTTGTTATAATGATAATCTGTTCTCCTCCATGGAAAGAGAATTTCTAGCTGTATTCTGGAGGTTGTCAAATCCAAACAACAAAGATTTAGTTGAAGCTCCTCAATGGGAACATAATGTACTACTACAGAATAGGACCTAGGACCTAAATATGAGTCAGCTGGTATTAGGACCTCACGTGTCAGACATCGTTTGGACCTAAGGAACTTTTAGTTTGTTGTTTAAACCTGCACTCAGCAATATTCCAGCTATATGATGGTGAATTGTAAATAGTCCAGACCAGACAATCCAGTGATCAACCTCATGAGCATCTAAGCAATTTGGATACGATGGCATGTGTCAACCAAGTCAGCGAGCCTGATCACCCGATCCCATTAGTCACCTTTTACAACAAGCATGGGTTGCTGAAGACCAATTTTAACCTGGATCTTCACGGATCTAAGGACCTTTTAAGTAAGTTGCAGAAATCTGGAGCCAGTATTTTCTTCTCTATCCATTTTTTAAATAACCTGAGCAACTGGTGACAATCTCCACAATCACTACACCTCACAATCTCTATACTAGTACACAAAATTCTGACGACAAGCCAACTTCAAAACTGATAAACTGACGGATGTCACAGTCTCTAATCCAACTTACCAGCATAAATGCAAAACTACAATTTCAAAGTGAGTTTGCACATAAGGTTAAAACTATTTGGAAATACAAATCTATATTAGTGGAGAGACAAAACAGAAACAATTGTGAGCCTATTATATCATTAGCATAGAATAACAAGCTGCAGCTACTGGTTCTAATTGCGATCTACTTGCATTCATGGCTGACACAACTGACACAATGGCAGTGCCAAGAGCACTGGGACAGTCACATTCAGGACTTGGTACTAAACCCAGATACCCAACATTAATAGTTATACAGCATCATAAGTGTCTCAAGCCATTGCTGCATCTACTGCAACAGCTTCAGAATCAACATAGTCAATAACTACAGCCACACTGCATTGATACAGTCATACACATAGCATGACTGTTGACAATAGGCACTACATAAGCAGTCAGCCATGACAATGTATTAGTACATATACGACTCACATGAAGTTAAGGACCAGCTGATTCCTATCACACATGGACAAGCTACTTACAGCTAGGTATATGAAGAATTCAGTTAGTCCGTAACTTCTTTATATAGTAGAATATAGTAGCTAAAGAGGGACTGGCATATATTTCTCTGTCTACTGTAATATATTTTTCACCACTCTTAGAAGCATGTGCTACAAGAATCGTCAGTTCTCAAACAAAACTCATATCTCTTACAAATCTAAGATAAAGCAGATATCTAAGATAAAATCACACATTTCAACCCCAAACCACACTGACTTGATCCTAAGCTGACAATCCAAACATTCTGATGAGCCAAATTTGAGAACTGAAGACGAACCTATATTGTTTCAGAATTTCTCCCAGTTCATGTCACCATATGTACTGTTATCACCATCTAGGCAGAATTCAGCTGAATAGTATCAATAATGGCAATCTGAAATTTTCAAGGTTTATCATTTATCAATATTACTCAACTGATTTTCTACAGTGACATTCTCTATGATATCATGAACTGAACTGGCGAGCTGGCACCTACACTATGCAGAACTATGTGAATGGGTTGACCCAGAACATACTCTGCTACGAGCTCTCAATGCCCCCCTAGTGACAACCCTGGACGGTAAATATGCTCCGATGAGCTGGAGAGGTAGCTGTATCGCAGACGAGGGGGCGCCACCAGGTCGTCCCCGCTGGGCGATCGGTACGCCACGTTGAGACTGGCATACGGTACTTGTGGGAACGTGATGGTAACTTGAGGCTGAACGAAGCGTTCAAACCTCGGCCTATTCACTTTGTTAACCCTTTTCTTTATCTTATGACACGGTTGGAAGGACTTGGACTTTAACTCATTACCTTTGACAACTCCACCGGATTTCATTGTCTTTAAGTCTGTGGACTCCACATTGTTAACGGACACAGTGGCCTTGTTCTGCCTGTCCAGAACTGTGGGCGGGGATCGTGTAGTTGTTTGACACAGACGTCCGTGATACTATCCGCCGAGTTGTCAATCCTGCCAGATACGGCGTCTGAGTGCACACTTTCGGCTGCGATGGAGGTTGAGGGTGAATCTTTATTGGGTGATGACTATCAAAATATTCCGACTTTTTACTCTCCGATTTTGATACCATTACAACTGAAGATTTGTGACTTGAGTCCTGAGATACCGGCTCTGACTTGGTAGAATGTCCCTTAGTATTGCTAGACTCAGAACTGCTGGCTTTGGAAGAACTTCCTGTGGATTTCCCACCCTCACCACTTGACTTCCCTGCTGCTGGCACTGAATTACCTCCTCCTGACTTCTTAGTTTCGCCCACCTTCTCATTAGACACACTTTGACGGACACTATTCCGTGGAGTAAAGTAGGGTTCTCCTGGAATGGCAACTTCAGGTCTTCGTAGTCCTGGTTTGCGAATGGCTTGGCCATCGACACTGAGATTGATGCCAATGTATGGCGGCACTGTCACTAATGGCTGCTTGTATGCAAGCTCAAAGCGACCAATATCACAGTTTCGGTCATATTTCCTGTCTACTGCAACTGAAAGAAAAATGAAAACATATTATTGATAACTGTCTAAATTCTTCATGATGTGTTATTTACCAATCAGACACAACACATGCACTTAATGATCTTCAGCTCTCTGGGGGAGAATGTAACTGAAGATGTGGTCTCATTACTAGATCTGATGATGGAGGTCATGAAGCTGTACCTTTGATGGTGTCCTCGAGGACGTTGGCACAGAGTCGGGCGGTGATAGGGGTACTGGCCTCCATGCTTGGTGAGGAGTTGATCTCAATCAGCAGTGGCTGACAGTCCTCTGTCAGCATGAAGTCAGCACCGTACAACTCAAACGATGCCTGAAACAATATGGGTGTCATAAACAAAGTTTGTTGTTTTATGGTGCAACATACCCATGAAGATTTTGGTTAGAACTGATCTTCAGCAACCCATGCTTGTCGTTAGAGGCGACTTATGGGATTAAGTGGTCAGGCTTGCTGACTTGGTTGACACATGTCATCATATCCCAATCGCATATATTGATGCTGATTCTGTTGATCACTGGATTGTCTGGTCCAGACTTGATTATTTACAGACCGCTATATTGTAGAGTGCGGTGTTAACAACAAACACATCATGCTCCACTCTGGACTCGCCCCATATGCTCTAAAGACTCACGCCATGTGTACTGCGCACACACTCCAATGTGTTCTTGGACTCAATCCAACATATTTGGACTCACTTTCCTGTAGTCTGAGACTCACTCCCTGTTTTCTTGGACTCACCCATGTATTTTTGGACTCGACTCCTGTACTCTGGAACTCACCTTCCTGTACTCTATGATATCCTGAGTCACCAGGAGAGCACAGATGAGTGCTTTCTTCATCCCGGGGTAGATGATGTCCTCCCACGCCGTACCCTGGTTCCGAGTCCTGTAAAACATGCAGGTCACGTCACACCCACAGTTATATGTGTGAGTAGATGTGTATGAGAAAGAAATTAACTATGGTTAGAGACCAGTCATTAATTACAAGTGTGGGTAGGTGGGTCTGTGCTTTTTGATACATAGAAGCATTGACAAGAACAACCTTATTTTGACATGGTCCTTCAAAGGGGTATGGATGTCAGACAGCTACTCACTCAACTGTGGTGCAGAGTTTTGTTTAACATCTATTAGGAAAGCACTACAAAAGTAGCTCTTTGTAGTGTCATGTCAAAATCAAAATCCTTATAGTAAGTAAGATCTTACGCCATAATTAGCAATATTCTAGCAATATCATGACATGGGACCCCTAGAAATGGGGGGAATCGAACCTGGGTTGTCAGCGTGATGAGTGAACACTTTAATCACTATGCTACCCCATTGACCCCAAAATTCAGTACGGAGTTACTGTCGCTAAGGTTGCTGTGGACCTATTGTCAAGGTTCGCATTAACATGTGCATCTCTCCACCATGGCAATAATCGACATACTTGAGATATTCCTGGAAGTCTTCATGGGTCCACATGTTGTCACTGGGCAGCTTGTTGGAGCGGGGACCGTTCTTCTTGTGCTTCTGTATGGCGTTGTTGGAGAGGTGGATGGCCTCGTTGAAGTCATCCAGGGTGTACTGCTGGGAACAGAAGCGCAGGTAGCTGTCCTGGTAGAACCAGAGGGTCAGAGGATTCCAGTCAGTCACCAGGAACCACTGACGGATGTCGAACTTGGTGTTGTAGATCAACAGAGGGCGTTCTGTAACAACATGCATGTTTGCTGTGGGCCATGACAGAAATATTGTTTGGTGGTTTGTTTGTTTGGTGGTTGTTTAAGGCTGCACTCAGCAATATTCCTGCTATATGACTGCATTCCGTAAATAATCGAGCATGAGCATCAATCTGCACAATTATGTAATAATCCATACCAATCAGCTACTTTGTATATCATGCTACCAGAAACGTTACATTAATGAAAAAATGGAAAGATTACATATAATTATGTGGTAAAGTGTCACATGTTGTGGCCAGAGAGTGGTGTGCTCACCTATATACTTCTGCACAACAAACTTGCTGTCCTTCCGCACAACCTGGGAGTTGACCAGCTTCAACATGTCTTCAAGTCGGTCATAGCATATAATGCCTGCAAACAGAGTTGTCTCCCCTTATACACAAACCAGACACTCGTCCAGTACACTAAAGACTGATTTCATGCAATGTGTAAATGCTTTATAGTAAGATTGATTTCATGCAATGAGAAAAATCAAACTATGATGCAAAAGTTCTATGATTTGATGCAATGAGAAAAATCATAGAATTTGTGCATCAGAATAGTTTGTTTTCAATCAGTCCAAACAAATTGTTTCACATGAAACACATATGCATTGTATGAGGTAAAGGCTCCATTCTAGATTTTTGCAGTAAGTAAGTCTACATGTGTATGCAAAGGAATAGGTTCCATGTATTGTAGACTTATACTGACTCCAGTAAATGAGAGAGCATAGTTTTACGCCGTTTTCAGCAATATTCCAGCAATAACATGGCGGGGAACACCAGGAATGGGCTTCACACATTATAACAATGTGGGGAATTGAACCCAGGTCTTATGCATGATGAATGAACACTTTAACCACTAGGTTACCCCATCGCCCATGGCTTCAGTGATATGGCTAACTTAGGGTCTATTTCCATATCCAGGAAAACACAATGGTACATATCTGTAGTCATGTCCATGGCAACCCCTACAACACCACTGCATACCTCTCCCTCGGGACTTTGCCCCAGGTTTGACAATCCACACGTTCCGTGCACCGTCCATCTCAAACTGGGGCCATTTTGTCTTGAGTCTGTTGAGAAGACTCTCGCACTGGCCAAGGATGTTTTGAGCCACTGACTGTATGTATCCCTCGTCACTGAAACGAATACCAACAGTTACTGTAATAGCAGCAGCAGCAGCAGCTCACAGGCATATCACTGATAACGTCAATGTCTCTTTGTTGTTAGAGTGAATAAGTGAGTAGATGTTCACACAGTAGTCAAAAATAGTCAAGTCATGTGGCCTGTGAATAATAAAGACTGTGCCAGTCAAACCAGTGGTTGACAGTATGAGCACTGACAAGTGGCATTGGGTCACCATGACAACCACGTGCCTATCTCGCCCTCCTTCATCACTTTTTACAAGCACCGACTACTGTGGATCTCCCCTACTCTGAATCTCCACAGTGCTTTGAGACATAACTTTAGGGACATCTGGGATTGAAAGTGAGTGAGGCAAGGAAATACAATGTTACTGACCAAATTTACACTAACAACTATCATCAACGGGATCACAATCATCATGATTAACATCTAACCATCTGATCAAATTTTGAAAACAATTCCACGTTAAACTGAAACAAATGAACAATCAACAACTTCTTCATATTGATAGGGACAGTTGGTGGAGAACAAGCAAGCACTGTTGAGCTGATATGCAATCAGCATGTGTCAATCACTCACTGTGCCAGCTGATAGTAGTGCTGGATCAGCTGATCCCATTGGCTGTCTGTCAGAGTCATGGGCTGCAACAACATGGGACATAATATAGAAACTATTGTTCAAGGATATGATAATGGTCAGAAACAAATGTCAGAATTTCTCAACTCCAAAAGTTAATCTTGAACTGCCACAGCTAAACCCTAAATTGGGAATAAGAAACCTTACATTATGTTCTTTGATATGACCCCACCTATCCTGTGACCTCCTTTAGGAACCTTCAAAATCAATGCTGATTCTGATTTATATACTCTTGTCTGTACTGCGATCAGGAGTGATGAACATCGGCACAGCTCATGGTGTCTGAACATTGATAAAGACTTTTAAAGGAGAACAAAGACAAAGAAGTGCAGTTAGGCTCCTTACATATTTATAGAGAAAAACCTGTTTTCATGTCAATAGGAAATATATCATTAAGAATTAGATCAACGTCATATGAAACGAATGTCACAAATCACTCTGTTTTATTAAGTACAGCAATTAAAACATTTCAGTTCATGGCAAGTCCTTTATAACACAATGAATATTTTCCACATTTTGATGTCATTTGTAAGACATGTTAATATTCATTATCCATTGATAATTCTAACATAAATTTTTAAGGCCAATGAATGTTCATTGCTGACACTGGAGGAGAATACACTCACATCATGCTGGACATCGATATCATCATGGTCCTTGGAGGCAAGGTACTGCTCACATCTATACATGGCCTGCTCCAGAACTCGCAGGGGCACCTGCACCTTCTTCTTGGGCTTCTTCCCCCTGGGGGTGACTGATGTGGCTACAAGGGGAGACAGAGATGTCAGGAGACAGCCATAGTTTGAACTGCAGCAATATTCATGCCACATCATTAAATGAAGATATCTGGTTCCTTGTTCCACTGAGTTGAGTTAGAACCATGGTCCCAATCCACAAATCATGGAGACCTGTCATAACTCTATAGTTTACCACAGGCTTCCAAAATGTTTTAGTGCTTTTGTGGATTGAGATCCTGGTCTGTTGGAACCACTGTACCTTATCAACACAGGCTTGTAATACTCACCCAAGAAAGATCATTTGTACATCCATAATCTTTAAAGTTAGCTTAGTTAATAATGTTGAAAAGAACCCAAAAGCAACTCTTATCACTGCTCAAGTTCCACGATATGTTACATGCTTTGCTTGGAAATGCAAAGAAGATACTGAAACAATCCAATACATATAATAATGTAATGAAAGACATTTTGTCAAAAAGCCAAAAAATGTCTTTAAAGTATTGATTGTTGAATCTGGTCAGGGTGCTTGCCACAAAGCAATCTTAGTGATAGACAATGGTGATTCTCTCAGTTTAAAACGAAATCCTCACAGCTCTGGAACAGGCTCTTAGTTTCCATTTCTGTTAGTTATCTTAGCGCTACACCTATTGTAACGTCTGTACTACACCAGAGACGGATCCCTTTCTTTAATGGGGTCCAGGGTCTCATTTCTGATCGCTATGTTAACACTTCCTCTATCTTAGCACCTCAACTCCTGTACCAGAGACTTACGAAAGTTGTAGTGCTATGATCGTGTTGTGGAATAGGATCCAGTTAAAAGTAACTGTTCTTCAGCTTCCTGTTCCACCCTGCCATTCAAGGTGCTGCTAGCTGCAGCAGCACTTATGTACAATGCAGTATATGATGCTACTCTCAAACTATCTTACGCTTAGATGACTCTGAAGGATCCTTGAGTGCCTCTTTCTCCTTCTCTGTCTGTTTTTCTTCCTCCACTTTCTGCATGTGGACACACTTGTTGCTGGAGGTGGAGTTGGCTACAGATCGGGTACACTCCCGGGTTAGTACATGTAGGAGAGGTGGGTGCATCCTCTTCCTCCTCCGTGGATTGTAGGGCACCATCCATGTTCTGGCTGACCACAATCTTGATGATGTTCATACAAGCTGTCAACCGGTAGTCATCTGAAAAAGACATGGAGGAACATATGACTTGAGTTTTATCATGATGGTGAATATTGAGTCAAGGTAAATACTTTCATCTGGCTCTTTATCTACGATAAATTGAAAGACTAGTGAAATAGAGAGACTAGTACCTATTCTTGCAGTATTATAACACAGTACCTATGAATGCTGCCTTGTCCTCCTCCTGGCTGAGACGATAACATCGGGGAAAGAACATATCAGGGTCCGCGTTTTCGAACCACGGTACATTCTTCATGTTGACACACAAACCAACCTACAACAGACATACAGTCATGAAGCCTGTGAAGGTGAAATCAATCCATAACAAAATAATTTACTTGATTTCAGATGCAGATTTTATCATTATTATAATTTCAGTTCTTACGTAGCACATGTTAGAAACATAGTCATAAATATATTTCCTCTAAACATGCTTAATGCAATAAGCATTTTCATATTGGCAAAATTTCAGTCAGAAAAAACAAACTGTCAATAAAGTTTTCACATTTACTTGTATTGTCCAGATATTGGTTTAAAAGTATCACACAACCTCTAAGTACAGTATATGATGAAATGATAGTAAATAGTTGGACTTGAGTTCCTCACATTGCTGGTGTGTTGCAAAGAAAATGATAGACCAAACTTGGGAGTGAATGATCCAGCCTTACAGTAATGATTAACTATGGTGACTCACCTTGGTGGTGAATGATCCAGCCTTACAGTAATGATTAACTATGGTGACTCACCTTGGTGGTGAATGATCCAGCCTTACAGTAATGATTAACTATGGTGACTCACCTTGGTGGTGAATGATCCAGCCTTACAGTAATGATTGACTCTGGTGACTCACCTTGGTGGTGAATGATCCAGCCTTGCAGTAATGATTGACTCTGGGGACTCACCTTGGTGGTGAATGATCCAGCCTTACAGTAATGATTGACTATGGTGACTCACCTTGGTGGTGAATGATCCAGCCTTGCAGTAATGATTGACTATGGGGACTCACCTTGGTGGTGAATGATCCAGCCTTACAGTAATGATTGACCCTGGTGACTCACCTTGGTGGTGAATGATCCAGCCTTACAGTAATGATTGACTCTGGGGACTCACCTTGGTGGTGAATGATCCAGCCTTACAGTAATGATTGACTCTGGTGACTCACCTTGGTGGTGATGATCCAGCCTTGCAGTAATGATTGACTCTGGTGACTCACCTTTGGTGGTGTAAATGATCCCATCCTTACAGTAATGATTGACTCAGGGACTCACCTTGGTGGTGAATGATCCAGCCTTACAGTAATGATTGACCCTGGTGACTCACCTTGGTGGTGAATGATCCCACTCAGCCTTGCAGTAATGATTGACTCCTGGGACTCACCTTGGTGGTGAATGATCCAGCCTTGCAGTAATGATTGACTCTGGGACTCACCTTGGTGGTGAATGATCCAGTAATGATTGAGCCTTGATCCAGCCTTGCAGTAATGATTGACTCCTTGGTGGTGACTCCACCTCCAGGGACTCACCTTGGTGGTGAATGATCCAGCCTTGCAGTAATGATTGACTCCAGGGACTCACCTTGGTGGTGAATGATCCAGCCTTGCAGTAATGATTGACCCTGGTGACTCACCTTGGTGGTGAATGATCCAGCCTTGCAGTAATGATTGACCATCTGCTCCTTTGTCAGGAAGCGGTAGTCTATCACATCTCTCTTCAAGACCCAGATGAAGGACGGGTTCACATTGCGAACCATCCGTGACTGCAATGGGCAGAGTTGACATGAAAAAGCATTGAGTAATTTATAGATAGGCATGTCCATTAGTCAGAGAGACACATACACAGCAACATATAACCTGAACAGCTCACATCACCAAACATATACAGCAGTGATGTTGTAATAGTTGTAAGTAACAATGTTATATTTAGGATTACACTCAGAAAAGTACAGATTCTAGTACTCATTAGCGTTGAGTCCCATCCGGGATTCCAACCCACACTGGGAGAGTGAGGCACCTACTCACCAACACAAAGTCAGTGATATAACCCACTAAGCCACCATGGCTTCCACAAAATGGAAGTCTGACAATGGGTAGGCTAGGTCATATACTTTGTGTAACCTTCTGAAGAGTGTAAATAGGCTCCCATGGGGAAAGGCTACAAACACATGTCTTTTCAGAAAGTGATCAAGATTAACATACATGTGTGCTATATTTTGGATTACTCTTTCTCAGAAAATTATAGTTTCTAGCATTTTGAGGGGGTTGTGGCATCGGTAATTTGATCCTACACTATCACAGTTTTAAGGTACCACTAGTATGATTTTCAAATTTTAGATTCCTCATAAGAAGGCCCTTGTCCCAAGTCTCATATGGTGGGCGTGATTCAGTCAGTTGACTATGTACATGCAATGTTTGTTGTTCAAAACCAAAGTCAGCTATAGTCAAGCTTGAAGAACACAATTAGTACTTAATCAAGTTGGGCCCAAACAATATTGTTATTGAAATCATGAAAAGGGAGAAAACACAAAACTTAATGCCAACCCATTAACTTCTGAGCTAGATTACAGCCTACATTGCAGAGACAGTTATCTAAGTTCAGGTTAACTGGATCTTGGAAGGTCATTTTAGTCAGCAATATTCCAGTTCCACAACAACAGCTTACACCAATTAAATGTTGGCCTGACAACTACTGGTTGATATTGTGAACAACACACCACTCTATCAGGTCACGATGACATGCAATCAACCATGTCACTGAATCTGACTGACCAATCCCATTGTAACATACATGACAACAATTTCAGGTCACAGTGACCTACTCACCATGATGCCATACAAGCCATCGTCCTCTTCCCATGGTGGTATCTTCGGATGGTCACCTGAAGAAACCAATTCATGCACTAATTATAACATATTTCCTGATTCTTGTAGAACAATCATCATCATTAACATCAAATATTTTGGCAACAAAACTTCAATAATAATTTCAAACTCTGAAAGAAACAATGATAAAGAGGATGTACATTTTTATTATTTAACATATGATAATTAGGCTGGCTGGCTGAGTATGGTTTTACGCCGTTTTTAGCAATATTCCAGCAATATCACGGCTGGGGGACTCCAGAAATGGGCTCCACAAGCTGTACCCATGTGGGGAATCGAACCCGGGCCTTCGGCGTGACGAGCGAACGCTTTAACCACTAGGCTACCCCACCGCCCTGATAATTAGGAGTCAAATTAGGAGTCAATTAATTGAAAAATGAAATTTTAGAGTAAAATTAATATTTTATACTTATCCTGACTCATGCTTATTGCTTGTCTTCTTCTTCTTAAGTAACCTAGTGGAACACTTGTATCTCCCAATTGAAGTTCCCTTCAATAAAAATCACTCATTAGTACCCACCACGAAGTTACCTCCCTTCCACAAGCTGAACGCAGGGAGCCACCTGAACCCATGTGCCTCACTCTCTCCTCATATACTGAGCCCAACATTTGAATTTTCAGGGAAATCCAAAGTGGAGGGGTTTACCTCATGAGTCAGGATAAGTATAAAAATATTAATTTTACTCTAAAAATTCATATTTTTCCTTATCCTGATTCATGCTTATTGCTTGTAGAATCCTACAGATAGGGAGGTGGGATTATACATACTTTGGATTTTACTAATTAGTGATTTGAACTGAGATGATTGTAATAACCCTATGGGAACTTCATAAAGGCACTGAACTGAAGAATTCCTGCTGTAACTTATCAGCCGCCATATAAAGGTTATTACAATTTACTTATTATGATAAAAGTATATATAATATTAATACAATGCTTAAGACTAATAGACTTAAGCTTGTTAATATGATAGCATAAACTCCTTAGAGTTTGTTAGCTAAAATACTTTTATGATATAAACATAGTACTGAGCTTAAGATATGATTAAACTTAAGCTAAATATATAATAGCAAAACTCCTTAGAGTTTATCAGCTAATATACTTTTTATGAAGTAAACATAGTACTAAGCTTAAGATATGAATAAACTGAAGCTATATATATAATAGCAAAACTTCGTAGAGTTTGTTAGCTAATATATTTTTATGATATAAACATAGTACTGAGCTTTAAGATATGAATAAACTTAAGCTACATATATAATAGCAAAACTCCGTGAGAGTTTGTTAGCTAATACATGTTATAATGTAAACCATAATGCTTAAGATATGATGAAACTTAAGCTAAATATATAATAGCAAAAACTCTTTAGAGTTTGTTAGCTAATATACTTATATAATATAAACATAGTACTGAGCTTAAGATATGATTAACTTAAGCTACATATATAATAGCAAAACTCCGTAGAGTTTGTTAGCTAATATATTTTTATGATATGAGTATAGTACTGTGTTTAATATATAATGAACTTAAGCTACATATATAATAGCAAAACTCTGTAGAGTTTGTTAGCTAATACATTTATAATGTAACCATAGTACTGAGCTTAAGATATGATTAACTTAAGCTAAATATATAATAACAAACTCCGTGAGAGTTGTTAGCTTATATATTGTATGATATAATAACCATAGTACTGAGCTTAAGATAATAAAAGAACTTAAGCAAAATATATATAGCATGTAGCTATTTAGTACTGTTATAAGATAAGTAAAATCTGTAAGATTGACTTATCTTCTCCGAGGAACTGTCAACTGTTGTGCGAGGACCATGGGACCGAATTGGTGGATACCTGAGACGTCCTCGGTGGTGATATCTCTCAGATAGTGGTTGGCAAACACCATATCGGATCTCCAGAAATAACCCTCCATTATTTCAATAGCATTTGTGTAGAGCAATGTAGATGTTAGCTTCTAATATCATGAGGATTAGAAGCTCATGGAGGGTCGATCCTGCAGTCTTGTAGGCACGAGTATGACAGTTCTGATCCAAAAGGAGATAGTAGTGCACGTGAGACTTTCGCTCATGCAGTGAGCTTGATAGACGAAATAAATCTCTTGCATTTTCCCTCCTGTTTGGCTCGGTGGAGATATATTTTCAGTGCTGTTACTGGCCATCGTGGATAGATTCATCGTGATCATGGGTCCAAGTATATCATCAAAGTGTGTTCATAAACCTCACTAGTGAGGTGTTGGAGCACTATATTCAGATCCCAAGTTGGAGCGTGAAACTTCCGCTTTAATCCTCCAATCGGAAAGCTCGTGAGCAAGGCGCAGTAACTGGGTTAGGTTAACTTGACGCTCGTTCTCAGTTATGATAGAGCTATTGCTACAAGATAGGTGGACAAGTTGAGCCTTATAAAATCTTAGTCTGACGTAGATAACATAAGTAGTCCGCCACTTGAGGATGAGTAGCATATCTAGCTGTAAATCCTTCCTTTGCAGCATAATTGACAAACTGTGCCATTTGTCATGGTATAAGTTGCCAGTTGAGTTACGCAGGGCAAGCTAGACTGCTTTGTCGCCTGGCTGAATAACTTGTTATTCAGACACGCTTCTTGATACAATCCAAACGTGAAGTTGGAATATATCTGGCTTTCCGTGCTTGTTTGGTGTGCGGATGTATTAACAGATTCGAGCACTCTGTAAGATGTAGTATTGGTTGTCCGATTTCTTGAATAAGAGTTGGAAACCACGCTCGCTGGTCAGTAGGCCGTGACCAAATTCAGATGGAGGCTCTGCTTTTGACTGATTTTGAGTAAACTTGTGAGATAAACGCCTGGTGGCGGAAAAGCGCACGCTGAGTTGAGTCCTTCCCACGATATGCTTAGTGCGCCTGTTGCCAATGCTAGTGGGTCTGGAACTGGCGATACTGTAATGTTGTCAGTTGTTTGTTGAATCGAGTGGTAAATAGGTCTATTAGTGTAGTTCCTATTTCCTTGATAATTTGAGTGAATATCTCTGTATGGAGCATTCATTCTGTCGGCGATGGTATGTGTGGCCGAGAGAGCCGCCTGCTATCACATTCTTTGCTCCTGGAATGTGATATGCTCTGACATGTATGTTGAGATTGTCGATTAAATCGAACAATTGAAAACAGAGTCGAAAATGTTCGGGACCTGGTTGAGCTTTAGTTTGTTCACATAAAACGCCACTGTCGAATTGACTGTGTGAATCATCCACTGGGTATACTGCAGTAAGTTGCTCCAGTGCATTAATGCTTTATTACTGCTTGCATCTCTAGCAGATTTATGTGTAATTTGTTCTCTTGATTGCTCATAGCCCTGATGCCGCCCTGTTGGCAAGATGGGCTCCCCTAACCTTATAGTGACACATCTACGTAGAGAAGTGTTATCGATTCCAGCCTCTATTAACGAGACGCTTTATTCAAACATTGATCTCTTGGTCCACCATAGTAGATGAGGTTTGACCTGAACCGTGAATTGAACGGGTAGAGATTCGCCTAGATGCTAATTGATGATGACTTGTAACGGATGTAATTGTAGTCTGCCTCTGCCTGTCATGTCTTGAGCTGAGCTGAAGTGCGTGAACTCCCAACAGACTCTGTCACTGTCGAGTGGTAGCGGAGATAGTAAGGCTTGTGGAAATGACTGTTGGATCTTGATCCACGGTTCTCTCGTACAATTATACGATTCTGCGAAGTTACAAATCAAAACCTAGAATTAGCAGATCTTGCGAAGGTTCTAGGTCCAACTTTAGTAGGTTTACTAACCATCTAGTTGTGTTAGTAGCTTGATGATGAATTCAACTGTAGTCTGAGACGCTATGGATTTGGATCCATTTGTATCCCGTCGTCAAGGTAAATTAAATTGGCAAGAAGTGCTTGACGATGTAGGTGCACAACCAGGGGTGACTGCCATCGTTGAACTTTATGTAAAAATCGCCTGACTGCCGTGCCCCTCGTCCTTACTTGACAGGGGAGGTCTCTAACCTCAAGAAGGCAGCCCAATCATGAAGGTTCAGATTAGCTGGACTGTAAGGAGGCTTGCTCGCTCACTGATATATTGTTGTCACTTGCAACCTATGTGTTGAACTGTGAACTAAGAGCGACCTCTGCGTGAGGGCGTTGTCCATCTCGGTCCAATCAGAACAAGGCATTTTGATTCTGTAGAGTACCCGCTGTGATGTCACCGGTGTAGCAGGAAAAGGAACCTTGTATAATATAGTGCCGTCGCTGATATTAGAACAATCGCCGGTCTTCACCGTAGCTTCCCCGGGTTACCCGAAAGTGACCACGTGTTTCGAGGGTTGATGGTAAACGCTGAAACCTCCGCCGAAATACCTCGCTCTGTAATATTAATGCTGGGTAGGTTATTTTCCAGGCTGTCGTGGAAAGTAACTTCAGTCTTGAAGATAATTCCGACTTCCTTATATAAGGTTCAATAAACCTTGCAAGTTGTCAGCTTGTAGACTGTTAAAGCTGAACTTGTTGTACATATTTCTTCTCAGGAAATCATTGACGATTATGAGTTTTACTCGTTGTAACAAGGCTGCTGTTCAATTTCAAGTATTGAATTGTCTGCAGATCTGCGTGAATGGTCACGCATGTAGATAATCGTGATCGTAGTAGGTAGTCGGCTTGAAGATCCTTAATTAGGCTCTTCATCTGTTGATAAATTAATACAGCGACGCTCTGTGTTGTAAATAGCCTGTGCAATTGTCTTCGCAGAGGCTTGTAGATCGCATACGGCTTACAGTTGATAGACAACTCATGCGATGTCTTGAACGGACTGACGAAAGTGGCTATATACTGACGAAAGTGGCTAGTATATGGAGACCTTGGAGGAGACTTCTCGGCTAACGCCTGGACTTCGCGCCAAGATCTCGAAGTAACGCTTCTAGATCTTCTGGGTGAAGTAGACTTGGAGCCACTTAGCCTTCGCGACCTTCGCGAAAAGTATCGAAGTCAGAGTCCGATCAATATATGAGCTTGCTTCGCTTGAATCCACCTCTGTGTTCTACAGGGTGTGGGCTCTGGGCGGCGCTCCTTCTCTGCGATGTCCCTCTCAACTGGTGAGGCTCTAGCTCCTTCGCTGAGGCGCCTGGGACTTCCTAGCCGAAGTGTCTAGAGTCCGATCAATATATGAGCTTGCTTCGCTGCTAATCCACCTCTGTGTTCTACAGGGTGTGGCTCGCTGCGGTTACCCCGCGAACTCAATATATGAGCGCTTGCTTCGCGAATCCACCTCTGTGTTCTACAGGGTGTGGGCTCGGCGAAGCGCTCCCGCAACTCAATATATGAGCGCTTGCTTCGCTAACGACCTCTGTGTTCTACAGGGTGTAGGCTCGCGCTAAGCGCTTCTCTGCGATGTCCCTCGCAACTAGTGAGGCTCTAGCTTCTTCGCTGAGGCGGCCTGGGACTTCTTAGCGAAGTGATCGCTTCACGGGCTGGGTTGCCCTTCGCTGAGGCGTGTCTGTGGGCTCAAAGGCCCTCTACTGAAGCCAAGGCGGGCTCTAAGGCCCTGTATGACTTAGTATGGGGTGGGCTCTGAGGCCCGTGGGGCTCTGAGGCCTCTGTAAGCCGTGAACGGGTCTTCCATCAGCCTCATGATTTGGTTGACCAGGTCGTCTGGGATGGTCTGGCGCTGGCGCTGAGGGTGTCCTCTCTGTGATAGTGACGGAGACCCTCAGTTATAATCTCCGCGCCAGCGTAGGCATCTCTGATTGCATGTTGACCTGCGCTGCTGAAGTGGACGGTAGCCGATACTGGTCACTTCTTATGACATACATCTGGAATGATAATCGAAATGTCATCATCATATAAACATAATTCTGAATATCAGAAGCAAAGTTTTTTAGTAGCCTTCGTGGATTTCCCTTTGACGAGGCTGTAGACCTGGGGTTCGGAGCGCACGTTGGGACGACGTGGAAGCTCTTCTAGTTTTAGACTGTGATGAAGGAGCGTCCTGGGAAGCAGGTCGCTTCTAGGATATAGAAGACTGCTTCCCCACGCTTATCCCCCTGAAGGTAACTCAGGATATATCTGACTCGATCTATTAGCCATGACTGAAGATTGTTTCGAGATTGATCTGCCGCCCGCCTCAAAACGGAACATAAATATTTATCAAAGGCAGAAATTGGTAAATTAATACATAATTTACAACGAGAAACAATAGAACATGGAGTAATGCAACTAGGGCATTTTAAATGTGGATCGGTAGCAGAGTAACGTAATTTACAAACAGTGCAGATTTTTATTAACGCAAACTGCTGAGTAAACACGGCGAACCGTGAATCAAGCAGCAGAAACACGAATAATTATCAATGCATGTTGAATAATGATACTAGTTACACCTCTATAGATGAATATAAGAGGTAACAAACTAAATATAAATAAAGGATATAGTGTGCAGGGAGACACAGGTGCTCTCACGTCTTGCTCACTGGGCGAAGAAGGAGAGAGTGAGGCACATGGGTTCGGGTGGCGCCCTCGTTCCCGCGCTTGTGGAAGGGAGGTAACTCGTGGTGGGTACTAATGAGTGATTTTTTATTGAAGGGAACTTCAATTGGGAGATACAAGTGTTCCACTAGGTTCGCAAGAAGAAGAAGACAAGCAATAAGCATGAGTCAGGATAAGGAAAAATTATATATTTCAAGTTCATAATATCTTGAATCTCATACATATAATTTTATGCATGTTAAACAGTTTGTAAATATGTGTGTTGTTAGTTGTTTAAAGCACTCAGCAATATTCCAGCCATATGACGGTGGTCTGTAGGTAAACGAGACTGGACCAGACAACCAAGTGATTGACAGCATGACCATCGATTTACGGAACTGGGATACAATGACATGTGAATGTTTCCCATCATGCTCCAGCAATGTGGGCTGTACTCCCATGTCAACATCTGGGCGTGCGTGTCTCCGACCAACATTACTTAGATTATGGCTGGAACAGTTACTGCTGCACCATGTGTTTGTTGTTTAGTGCCGCACTATGCAATATTCCAGCCATAGGATAGCGGTCTGTAAATAATCAAGTCTGGACCAGATAATCAAGTAATCAACAACATGAGTATCGATCAACATGGTTGGGATGCTATGACATGTGTCATCCAGGTCAGTGAACCTGACAACCTGATCCCATTAATCGTCTCTTACGACAAGCATGGGTTGCTGAAGACCAATTCTAACTAGGATCTTCATGGGGGATAAATATGTCTTATTACAGTACATTTTCACAGTTTTAACAAACATTTACTAACCACCATCATCATCGTCATCATTGTCATCATCATCATCATCATCATTGCCATCAGTATTGTCATTGCCATCAGTAGCACCGCCACCATCATCATCGTCATCATCACTGTCATCATCATCATCAGAAGTTCTCTTATGTTTGGACTTTTTAGCCTTCGTCCCTGGTCCCGGTATCCGGTAGAACTTCTCCACCCAGCCCCTGCGCCGCAGACTCTGCCGGATGACGGAGTAGCCGCCCTGGATGGTGAACACCTTACGGTACTGAAACAACATGGCCATACGTTACAGTTGACATGGTAACAATATCATGCATCTAGGGCTTGGACGGATCCAAATTTTCTACCCTACCCTACCCTACGCTACCCAGACCTACCCTACCTGGACCTACCCTACCCGGATACTCGTTATGTTAATTCCTGACATCAAATTTGTAAGAAATGGCAATATATTCTTCAGTTCGGAGGCTAAAATTTTGAGTTTTTCAATATCTTAACCATGTATTATATTCAAAAGATGTGACTGTAAATAATGTCTAAATCTTCAAAGACAATACAACCTTTTAATCATGAAGAATAACACAATAGTATATTACATTGTTTAATCTATTAGTCACATGATCATAACAGGTCCGGGTATTGAGATGGGTACCCGGGTCCAACTCATTACCCACCCGTCCCGGGTATCCGGGTTACTCATCCAAGCCCTACATGCAGCTGTTTCAATTAGCAAAACAATCACGTCATGTGGGAAATGATATAGAGTACAACTTTCAACAATATCTAATAGATTAGTGTAGGTGAGCAAGTGTCTTAATATTCCCTGAAATAACTGAAATATTGCTGAGGAAAAATTTCTTCAATTCATGATGTAAGAGCAAAATATGGATGTTTATGAGTGTGTCAGTAAATGTCTTGCATGAGCCAAGGGACGATACTCTGGTTTGTGAACCAGTGAAAACCATGTGCTAAGAGACAGACATGCCTACATTTGTGTTTGTTTGTTTCATCTTAAATGTCTCACTCAACAATATTCTAGGTATATTTCTGTGGCCTGTAAATAATCGAATCTGACTAGACAATCCAGTGGTCAACAGCATGAACATTTCTATACAGAAATGGGATATGATGACACGTGTCAACAATGTCAGCGAGCCTGACCATCCGATCCTGCTAGCTGTCTCTTATGACAAGCATGGGATGCTGAAGACCAATTCTAACCCGGACATTCACTCATGTCTTGTCTGCAGGAGAGTGAGACAGTGTATGATTAATTGTGAAATGTGAAATTGAGAAAATACATTATAACAAGGCTACTCAAAATAATTTAAAGAACAACCTAATTTATGAAATAAGAAATGTTCATGTTTCATGGCATGACAGATTAACTATAGTAATATAGAATCGCTTGTTCTCTATCTTCTTTTGAGAAGTATAGACGAACAAAGTGAGAAAACACATTGTTAGTTTCACAGCTTTCGTCTGTTACCTTTGTTTTATAAAATAAAATGCACCAAGACGTTTTCTGCAAGTAAATCGACAAAATAAGGATCCAGGATCCAGTTTATCTTCTGTTTCAAATCTATTAACCTTGACTGTCCAAACCTACATTACCTTAATTGCTTTCTCTACAATCTCCTTGGCTTGGCGTAACCTCTCCCCATCCGCCACACCCGTCAACCTGCGAGTGAGTTTGGGCCGTCCCAGTGACGGCATGGTCTTGCTGCGTGACAGGCTGCTGGAGACATCAGAGTCATCTGGAGACAACAACATGACTGGGAGTACTAACTGACACACATGACGCTTCGCTTCTTCTAAAGACTATCTAACATAACTAGCTACAGGTCTACAGCTTTGAAGAAGACACCCAAAGCACTGCCCCAATAGTCCTGTGAATTAAGCGTAAAGAAGAAGCGTAACAAAGTGAAGGAACTACCTCCTTTTACTTCATTGTCCCCTGAGTCGATGAGAAGCCTCTGTTTGCTGAAGGTAGGGTGTGAGTGGTAACGAGCCTGATGACGCTTCATCACCATATCCTGAGCACCATTGGTGTAGGGCCCTGTAAGTTAGTACACCCGTGAGATAACAGTACGTGTTGGAGTTTAACGCCGCTTGGAACAATATTTCAGTTATGTCATGAGTTACTAAGGGAACCCAAAATGAGGTTCCATTTGCATTTGAACCTGGTTTTCTTCTTGACCAGGAAATGCATGAATCATGTGCTTCTGTTTTCAGTTTAATACTGTAGTCCGCAATATTCTTGCAATATCATTGGCTGCCTGTAAACATCTGACTAGACAAACCAGTTTGACAGCATCAGACAGTGCACCAGAGACTTTTCATACGATGATACACAATATGCATATTTCTGTATCGATACATGATGATACACTTGCTTATATAAATCCCTTACTACTCTTTCAACATGTCCAATGATACACATAATCCTTTTCCTCTCCTTCAGCATTTGTCGGTCAGATACTGACAAAAGTGCTGTAATTACTTTAAGTTCAACAATAGAAGGAACAAGCATGCATCTACAGCCTGCGTCTCCTTCTGAACCTACTCATAAATATTTCAGTCTGGAAGTTTCCGAATGACTTGACTTTACATTTCGCGATATGTACAGTTTCAAGGTCACTCTGTATCAGTTCACCCCAGGTATGTCCTCGACTACTAGGGTAAGATGATGACAAGCTATCACCCTATCAACTAACTCTGACCCCAAATTCAAGACGTTTTACCGCCAAAAGCATCAATTTCAATTGGCCGTTACCATGACTACTGATGTATTGATGTATCCATTTTATCATGTGTCTTACCATCCAGCAGCCTCTGCAGCCCCGTTGTGCTGACATGTGTCTTGGGGAACGTCTGAGCAGGACACATGGTGTCTGTCTGTGTGTCCCCAACGTCGGAGTCCGAGTGTGTGCTGCCTAGCTGGCTGTCAGGCTCCTCCGGTGATATAGCATTGTTATTGGCATCCCCGCTCTGCAACAACACCAGTAAAGGGGGTGACTATTCAGATCAGAGTCAGTTTGTCTTAACTGGTACAGAGGCACACAACCGACATTGAGGGGACGGTGGGGTAGTCTAGTGGTTAAAGCGTTCGATTGTCACGCCGAAGACCCGGGTTCGATTCCCCACATGGGTACAATGTGTGAGGCCCATTTCTGGTGTCCCCCATCGTAATATTGCTGGAATATTGCTAAAAGCGAAGGCTTGCTCACTGACATAGATCAAGGTTCCATCCATGATCAAATCAGGGAATATATTTCTTTTAGAGGATATTCAAACTTAAAAAAAAATAAGTATCAAAAGTATTTTTATAAAAACTGCTTGTGTTTTGCAGGTACATATATATTGTAAGTTATTATTTTCAGGATAAATATACGTGGATCATACTAGCATCTGGAGGTCTTTAAATGAATCTTTATGTTAATTATCACTATATGGCTGAAATATTGCAGATGTGATGTTAAATTTTAACTCACTCACTTTTTGTTAAACTTCTTTTTTAAATTCATGACTACTGAACAAAACTTTCCCCTATTATTATTGATTGTTGTAAGAACAACTGAACATGCTGAAGAGTCTGTTTTCTGAGGCAACTGAGGTAGATTCATACAGCCCATGATAATTACACATTAAAATTTAACCTCGAACACTGGATAATCACAAAATGGAATGAAACTACAGTAAAACTTGCAATAAACCAACTGATTTACACAACACAGGATCAAATCACATCCAGGTTAAAACTGATTCCACACTCCCTTTAGGGGGCAAAAGTATTTTTAGCAATTCAAATCTTTTTGTCAAAATTGATCCACTTTCACTTGTGGCTAATTGGTTTTACTAATTCAGATTTTCTAAAGACAATAATCAAAACATTGATGAGTTTGGCATAATATGATGAGATATTCACCAAAAGAGATATTGTACATGCTATTTAATACCTATTTAGCATTCTGGGGCCCGATCCACAAAGCGTAGTACTACGACATTCGTAAGCCTATGATAAACTATACAGTTACGACAGGTCGTAAGCCTATGATAAACTATACAGTTACGACAGGTCGTAAGCCTATGATAAACTATACAGTTACGACAGGTCGTAAGCCTATGATAAACTATACAGTTACGACAGGTCGTAGAAGCCTATGATAAACTATACAGTTAAGACAGGTCGTAAGCCTATGATAAACTATACAGTTACGACAGGTCGTAAGCCTATGATAAACTATACAGTTACGTCAGGTCGTAAGCCTATGATAAACTACACAGTTACGACAGGTCGTAAGCCTATGATAAACTATACAGTTACGTCAGGTCGTAAGCCTATGATAAACTATACAGTTACGACAGGTCGTAACAAATGAACGCTTTGTGGATCGACACCCTGCACCAGTACAGTGTGTATAGCTGCACAGTGTTCAGCAAACTGTTGGCATCTTCTTTATGTAACACATGCTCAGTCATCCAGTATAACATATCTCCATTCCATTATGAAAAACACTTGCGACCAATTCATCACCAAAGGTTCATTTTGAGTCTAGTTCAAAATGACATGATGCTAAAAATACCTATCCAATCAAATGAGAACAACCAATATGAAAAATATTCATACAGTCTGAATTACAACTTGTACCTCCTGGTAGCCAAGAGATTTCTCTCCCTCTATTTCAATCCTTAACAAACCAATGTTTTCAGCTAGTATATTCTGATTTTAGTAAAAGCCTTTACTTAACTTATATAGGGTCAAACAAAGCCCATATTTTGAAGATTGGCATTTGTTTTTAGATGTAAGCCCAACTGTTGCTAAGAAGAGTAATTCTGATTGGTTGTTGAGTTCAAGCTGACAATGCACAGAAAGTCTGTCTGAACATCATGATCGCTTCTTAAATGACGAGTTGGTTGTGCTCCACTCCTGGGTATGTATAGCGTAGCAGAAAGGAAATATAAAAATCTTGCTGGATAATATAGGATCTACACTCTACAACTTACTTCTTTCAACACTTTCTCCTTAAGTTTACGACTGCGGTTTAAGGAAGACAGGTGATCATTCTCTATACGATGATGTAGTGTTGCCTGCTCAATCTGAAATACACAACGTATATGCTGACCTATCCACTACTATGACTACTGATCAGAATATTTACAATCATAAACAAAATGGAGAGAAAAATTCTGTTAATTTTTTTTAAGTACATAATTGCATTTGTGTTGCTTGTGTTGATACGACTTGACAATATTTGTTATCTATGATAACATATTTAGAGAATAACCCACAAGGTACGAGTGATTACAGGAAATATGTCCCGAATGAAATTAATGTTCACTGTCCCTTGACATTAATTACACGAGGGACATATTTTCCGAAATCACTCGTACCTCATGGGACCAACTTATTCCATTTATTAGTAATTTTACCCATTCTGTAATTAAACCGAGAAACCAGCATTTATGAACTCAAAGCCACATCTTCTTAGTAAGTGTTTACAACAAAATCAGCTGATCTGTATTAATGCGCGGATGAAACGAAACTATTCAAGCTTAATGGAATCGCATTCGAACCACAATGTAGTACTGTTGAAAACGGTATGAATAACAACACAATTCAACAGTTTCAAAATTCATTTGATGGCGATTTTATTAACCACACACCCTTGTAAAGTTTATTTTAAACGAGTACAATGACATATTCAATATTTAGTCGTAGATCGCAAATATGTTGATCTTGTCTACTTGAGTCAGAAGGTGGATGACTGTTGTTGGATACACAACAGCAAAAACCTGTCAAATTTTTTTAACGATAACTTATAAAACAGTGAAAATCTGTAAGGGAACAATAAAACGCAGGAATGGTGAACCTTTTTTTAACATTTGACATAGTTTTGGCTTACGTCAGTGTCCTGTCAGGAATTATAACTCTAAATTTAGTCCGAGTCGACAACAGTTTTCGTTTGTAGCTAAAATGTTTTCAGTGTCATGGTAAAAACCAGGAACAAACCTGTCAAAAGTTTTGTTTTCAATTGGGGGGTAAAAGAATCATCTTGCAGTAGGTTTTCTAAGTCATTTATGACACTCCAGTAAGTGGGGACTTTGGCGAGATGCTGACTTGCTCCATATCGTTTCCGACAACACTTTCAGTATATATCTTGCAACTTCCATTTCACCGTGTTCAGTGTTATCACATACACGCGAAAGGAATTTAGTGGTTGCATTATCCTTGTTACACGTCCAGTAATGTATCCGTCCACCTTGACCAGGTCATTGACGTTGATTGCAGTTAACTGGGTAGCTATGTTTACAAAATACGATTAGACAATATTCTATTACAAAACATGTTGTTAAGTCAAACGACGCCATATTGTTAACGAAATATGAAATGAAGCATTAAATAAGCATCAGAATCGAAATCCTGTATGTTTTTTTGTTTTAATTTCAAATCCCGAATCAGTGTGATTACAGCACAGTCAATTCATCAATGAATCGATGAAATATTATGAATGAATGTAGTGGTGTGAAATAGTTCCGACATCAAATGAAAATGTACAAACATACGACCAATCAACATCGAGAATCACTAAATTGCACACAGTGCAAATATCAAAAAGATATTACACGGGATCTATTCACCCGTATGGGTAATAATTCAAAATTTATAATACAGTAGGTTGGTCGCCATTCTACATTTTCTCCCCTGATAGAAAACAAGACAAATTTATAAAATATCTTTGGTCAGATTTCTGTCCTAACAAGTGGTTAGTTTTTCTCCTTTTTCCCAACTATTTATAGCACAGTATAACGAACAAGCTCATAACAAACCTTTCTTTCACCCTGCCACTTGCTTTAAATTTTAGTTGAAATGCCTATAACAAACTAAAATTGGTGGTCCCTCTGAGTTTGTAATAGGTGTAGTTATTGAAGTAGAACTGAATGATTGTAATACTGAATGCTATGCTCTGTGTCAGGCTAAAATCATGTCATGTCCTGTATCTTCTGGGAAGATCTATTTTTGTTTAAAAACAAAAACTCTCATTTTAAATGTCACACATTTTGGACAATATTTTGGCCTATATTATACACAAATTGGGGCATATGCACTCACTTTAGCTTCCTATTGATGCCTCAAATCTATAACTGAAACTTCGAGGTGAACAGCTTCCAAACAGAGAACACTTGCCATATATGAATGTAAACAATTGCTCCGTACATCGACTTTGTCATACTCGGTGTTGTCGGTGTTTGCCAAACAAAACCAGGTTTCCATCACAAGTTGTGTGCATTATATTCACAAAGAGCGCTCCAAGGGACATAACTCTATGGGGTTTGCTTAAAATAATGGTCACCCGGGCGCAGGAGTCGATTCAATTCAACATTGCATTAATTCATTTGAACTTTTTAATTCAATATTTTAATCTAAATACATACAATTTTTTTAATAAACTATATGGTAGCTTCCCTGAGGGCTGATAGTTAGTATCATTGAGAGAAATGCACTATTTATTTTCTAAGAAGTGTGGTGTGATATAGTGCCCTTAGAGTGACTGGCAAATTTTCATCCACATAGTGTCTTAAAGCTTCATGTGACAGAACAATTCTTTTGTATTTCATAATGTTATATTTGTATAACCATTCCTTCTTTATTTTAATTTTTAAAAACCTTTTTTTTTAAATTTTTAACTGTCACCTGTGTGGACCGGTTCTTCACATCCTCATCTGCATCTCTTGCATCAGAATCATGTCTAACATAACTATTAGTTCCAATGTCACTCTCATCATTATTTTAACTCACAATATTTGATGGTTCCATATTTTAGTTCTATTTTTGTTCTGTATGAAGATGGATAAGTATTTCTCAATAATGTTCAGTAAAACGAAGCAGTCTGCGCATGTCAGAGTCTATGAACTTGAGGCACTGTACAAAGTAAAACAATTGAACAAAATTGAATTTTCACACCACTACCATGGAGCTAATGAAGTATTCACTGACACAGATGATAAGTGCCATTGTTCCAGTTTCACTGCAGTGGGGGAAATGGCGATCAAAGTCTAGTTAATTAATAGTCACAAAACTAGAGGGTTGGAAGCTTTTTATATGTTATTTTGGGTATTCAGAACCTCAAGAAGTTAAGTGTGGGTAAACATCGAGATGTCCAAGTCGGTGAGGTCAGTCATTTTGTTGTGGCTGATTATTATATAAAACCCACTGATAGAATAAGCAAAGAAAAAATCACTTCCGTGTTTATAACGTTTTGTAAATTAAATCGAAGGGATACATAAGTTGTAAATGAATTTGTGTGTAGATTCTACCATAACATGTTAAACCTTAGAGATAATAACAAAACCCATTATAGTTTATTACCCAATACAGGTCCAAAACAATGTTGCTACATGTATCATTTGCAAAACATATTGCGGTATACCTGTAATACTGTACAGTTCTAATAGTTGCATGTTTTGCACAATCATGGTTTATCGGAACACATTACAAGACAGCTCATTGGCAGAAACAAAATCAAAGAACCACTGAAAGGTATATATTTCATATCATAAAATACATATATCATCCAAAACTGTGTTCCACAGGAGATATCACTTGTGTGAGATTATATGTTAGGTAGTATTTTTCCTGTACCACGATTGGTCAAAATACCGTCACATGATTGACTACAAAACACGATATTGACTTGAGTTTTCTGATACATTATGATATTGACTTGGGTTACTAAAAATAGACAAGGAATCCCGCACGAAGGGGCTTCCCCTGCTTTTCAGCCAATCAGATCACTCGGATAGATGGCACAGTGTGTGCATTAAAAGTTTATGTTAAAACCCGTTTCTCTTTCATTATATAATAAAACAATTATAGATTCTTGTAAAAACCGATATCGACCTCTACAAGAGTCTATAATTGTATAATATCTCCTAGGAGATATCGTTTTGGCGGTAGATTTTGTACAATGCTCTGACAATGCTATGACGTCATCAACTTGATGACGTCACAATGCTATGACATGACTGCACTGTAACTTTATCAACTTGTGTTGATATAATTGATATCAGTAGACACTTGGGTGAGAATCTCTCTCTATCCATTTCTGGCCAGATCAATGTGTTTTTGCCTTACAGGTTTGATGTAAATATGACAACAGCCTGAGACAGGAAGGTAAGTAACAAATGTTTCTAAGATATTAATATCTGTTCATCATATTCATAAAAGTTTAAAAGATACATATAAAAGATGTTTTGAAAAGAAGTAAAAACACAATCAGTCTATGTATTTTCAATACATGTTTTTTTCTTTCAGTTAATCAGGGTAGGCTTCAAAAGCTTATTCGGCCTAGTAACTATCATAAAGTTGCCATTATGTTTATCAAACGTTTATCATTGAAATACTGCTGATAACCAATCAGAAATCCTTCAGTAGGTTCCAGCTTCAGAGGACATAGAATCAGTGGGGGAACCTAGTGGTTAAAGCACTTGGTCATAACGCTGGAGGATGGGTTGATTCCCTACATTGGTTCAACATGTATAGTATGACCTGAAATTATTGAGAATTTTAGGAATATGTTTAACTGGATTTCTAGTATAAACAACCTTGACCAGCTATCAAGTGCTTGATTTCATTCAAGAGAGACAACTCCGTTAATCCTTTTTAATTAGTTTGTGAAGAGTTATCCCCCTTTGTTTACTTGCTCGCAGACGGCATTTTCAGTCATCCTCAGTATGGATGATTTAGAGAAGAGAAAGTTGATTTTAGAGTATTATAACAAGGACATCAGATCAGCTAAAGTGATTTCAAGTAGAACAGGCATCCCTTTGTCCACTGTTTATCGTATTTTGAAAAATATTGCAAATGGATATGGCACTGAGCACCAGGGAGGCGCAGTTAGGCCCAGAAAATTGACTGTCAGTGACAGGAGGCGGCTTGGTATTCTTGTTTCTAAAACAAACGAAGGAGTTTAGAAAACTTAAGGCTGGATATGATTGATAGAGGAACTGTGGCTGTCTGTAAGGAAACAATTAGAACTGAGCTGCATGCAATGGGTTGGCAGAAAAGTCGAGTAATTCCATCACCGATCATGAAACCT